CAAACTTGTCCTATGAGTCCTTGAAACAGAGTTGATATGATTATTTGAACAATCCGATAGCCCATCACCACTAAGAGCTTCAGAACAAATATAATGTTTCTTCGTCCCATTATTAATAAGAAGGCGCTGTTTGAACATTTTAACATATTTAAATCTATTGTCTGTCAGATCAAAGTCCTTATTTTTCTTTATCCCAGAAAGTTCAAGCTCAAATATATTCATACTAGGCTTCATCATAAGATGAAGTTTTTCAAAGTTTGAATCACGCCTGAAACCTGGATCAATGTGGAGTATTTGACTTGCATGTAATTTGACAACCTTTATTCCCAGTAAGGACAGCGAATATATCATGACTCCAGGCCTGCATGGTTCTGCAGAAAAACGTATTTAAAGAAGAGGACCAGAGGGCCTGTATCGCTCACCTGGAAATGTTAACAACATTTAAGTTAGAATAGCATGGTGTTACTGGAAGTGTACAGGTATTACATGGTTAGTCAGGGGTTATATTTATATGCAATTTGACAAAATCTTGTCATTCCTAAAATAAAAGGAGAATTTCGAATAATTTGCTATGTTTCCCCTATTTGGCCCCACTCCTCTGTCCCCAGGGGGGTCAGACCCATCATTGATACAAAATTAGGTCCCTTCACTCAAGGATGCTTTAGACCAAATATGGACATAATCCTGTCATTCCTACAGAAGAAGAAGGATTTAAAAGCTATTTTTCCTCTTTGGCCCTGCCTCTCTGCCAAAAGGGGGGTCAGACCCACCGTTTATACAAAATTGGTTCCCCTTCTACCAAGGGTGCTTCATCCCAAATATTACAAAATCCTGTCATTCCTACAGAAGAAGAAGGATTTTGAAGAATTTGCTATGTTTCGCCTATTTGGCCCCACCCCTCAGGCCCCAGGGGGTCCAAACCCACCATTTATACAACATTGATTTCCCTTCCAAATATGATGCTACTGTTCAAATTTGGTCAAAATAAGAAGGAAATTAAAGCTATTCCTCTACATCCCTTATTGGGCCCCACCTCTCTACCCCCAAGGGGGGTCAGACCAACCAGTTATACAAAATTGCTTCCCCTTCCCACAAGGATGCTTCATACCAAATTTGGACAAAATCCTGTCACTCCTACAGAGGAAGAAGGATTTTAAAGGTTTTACTTATATTTCCGCTATTGGGCCCCGCCCCTCTGCCCCATGCCCACCCACCGTTTATACAAAATTGAGTCCCCTTGGCCAAATGATGCTCCAGACTAAATTAGGTTAAAATCCTTTAATCCCTACGATAGAAGAACAATTTTAAACGTTTTACCTCTATTTCCCATATTTGGCCCTGCCCCTCTGTCCCAAGGGGGGCCACACCCACAATTTATACAAAATTTAGTCCCCTTGCCCTAAGGATACTCCAGACCAAATTTAGTCAACATCTACTAGGCCGTTCAGGACTAGTAGTGTTTTAAAGTAAAGTTGACGGATGGACGGACGCTGCGGTATATTACTGTACTCATGGTCAAACATTCTAAATGTCATAGTGTGATACTTGTTCGAACTGACAAGGTTGTACTGTACACACAAACCAAAGTGTCCAGACTGACAAGGTTCTACTGTACTTTTAGCTGGTTTAATCCTCATTGGTTGAGTGAGTGGGTCAACCAAGACTAAGTTATGGTAATGGCAGATGCTGCTGAATTGGACACAAACAACACATGATAATGATACAACACAAATGTAAAAAAATAATTTCTTCATGTTTATTGGATAAACTGGTCAATTATAACAGATTATCAAACTGTAGTTCTGTTCTATTCATTCACATTTTCTTTCAGGGAAGAGTTTAGCTAACTAATGGGATGAAAATGCTTTATCAATGACCAGCAAAATTTTACATATATATAATAACTTCTTAATTTTCAACAATGCTTACTCTATGTAAACATCTTTATGTCTTAAATATAAATTATAAATTTTACTGTGTTAAATTTATCAAACCCCTTTTATTTAAGCATAAGTAAACAAAATTCATGTATTATACCACCACTCCTGTAAGATACCAGGCTAGTTATATGAATTGTACAATACCTGCATATAAATACCATATTTATCTGGCAATAAGCTCCTGCCTACTAATAAGCCAAACCAAACATACTGCAGTTCAGTAGATCCTGTTATATGCCCACATCCATACTTGAGCGGGACCTTCTGTAGTGGACCCCTGGGCTTATTGCAGGATATGTACAGCAAGTAGGCTATATATATATACCTTATAAACAACCTCATATTTACAAAACATCACATAAATGATACTCTGAGCCTCAAAGCAACATAATCTTCACACCAAGGAATGTATTCATAAAACCATTCTCAGACTCAACTCTGTCTCTGTGCTCAACATCTCAAATCTTTGCTCATATACAATGTTAGGATGTATTTCAATATTTCTTCTGCACTTAGCTGAAACTTATAATTATAATAATTGTTATCCTACAATTGTTTTTTAAAATATTATTTTTAATCTGTCACATGATCTTTATAAGTTGTTAAGTTTTTTTTAGAGAAAATAACTTGTGCTTGATAATAGGAATGGTTTTATGAATAAAGAACCTGAAAGGAGAAACACATGTATACTTACCATCATTGATTCAATGCTATAATAGCAACACTCTGTTAACTCATTCACCCCTGAAACTTCATAATGAACTATACCAACCTTTGAATTGGAAGAGTTCAAATATGTCTTCAGGGGTTAAGGAGTTAAATCAATACAAGAAAACCAGTTTTTATAGAATCAATTCATCAATATATTATATGTTCAGGCACAATCAATCTTGCATTTTCATCTTAGGTACAATGAAAGTAAATGTAGGTTAAATAAAAAGTGTGGAGTAACTGCTAAGGGAGCATACCTCTTTAGTGCTACATTTAATCTATAATGAAACCTACCATATAACTCCTCTAGTCCCAAATGATTAAATTTTGCAAATATGTGGCAATTTGCATATTTAAGTACCTTGAGAAAGTGTTCCCTTTCGTAGGGAAACATAGGAATCTTATACATATGCATGTAGTGGACTATCTAGTAGTTGAAAGTTACATGTGATTTGAAGATGCTGAATCGTTGATGCTTTTTGTCATCAACTTGAAAAAAAGGGTAAATAAATTGATGTGAGTAATATAAATGATAAATACAATGAAACAATGCAAACATGTCATAACTTTCCAGGGCAAAACAGTGACATCAACTGAATTTTTGGGGGATTATTTTACCAACAAGGTTACTGCGAGCGGTATATAATACGCCCGCCACACATTGAATAAGCAGTTGTTTGTATGATTGAAATATATGAAGTATTTGTGAGTAATTGATATTAAAAGAGAAATCATTTAACATAACTGGTAGATCAATGAGTGCAATACAACATCATGGAACGCATGCATCACATTAATGAAACCAAGGGGCATAACTCCACAAATTATGGTCGGATAATGGCGGTTATTGAACTTGTCCGAGCTTTCATGGTAATTAACCTTGTTGTGAAGTTTGAAGTTAATCCGTTAATAATTACTCGAGATATCGAGCGGACATTGTTTGCATGCCCACCCACCCACCTGCCTGCCCGCCCGCTCACGTGATGTCATAATACGTCCCCTTCTTCGACGGGCGTATAAAAACCATTGATTAACTAGTAGCTGTCGTGTCTGTTTAATGTTTACACCCACTTTCATCACAGATTGATCCGAGGAAAGTCCACACCAGACCAGGGCCTGTATCCGGTTCAACATATTCGGGTATAAATCCTGGCGGACCTGCAAATATTTATGCAGGTCTTGCAAGGCTTTGTCAAGGCTCGCCTGAAAGCAGCATCAGATTATTAAGTCCAAATTGTTTTCATAAATGTACAACTCTTCAATTCATTCAAACTGGCAACCAGCGTAAGATTTAAGACCTATCAGTGACTGAGGTCAGTGTGAATGAAAGTAGCTATTCTTTCTGAAGTAGAAATAACGCGTTTTTTACACCATTTAGCACAGATTGAAATTTGTAAGCAATGTGTCTCACACAGAGGGTAATTTTTGTGAAGCAATTTTTGATTGATTTTCCCAGAAATCAATTCGTTAAATATGGCATGTATGCCAATGGTGGCACATTTATACCCCTAGTTATTTAACATGGCCAAAATAGACTTGTAAAAATGATAAGGTAAGTTGAATCATCATGATACCTATCTCACTAAGTAGAATTTCTTTTAGATGAAAATGTTCATATTTTTTTTTGTTTCCTTCTACATATACCACTATTTCTGATGACTCATGATAAAGCAACATCATTTAATGTGAAGTCAATCTATTTTGACACATGATCTTCTACCCTACAAGTTTTAAACGCCAAATCTCCCAATAATTTCTTATTACAATTATACCCCTAAAAATCAACAATGCTCTACATTATAATGCATCTAGATTATCTCCAATTGGTCAAAAGTATTTAAACACTTGATTTTCAATACTATCCATTTTTTTTAAATGGAAGACATTAGCATGTTTGTTTCTGGTATCAACAATGACACTGACTTCTAACAACAAATATTAATATCCTCACTGACAATGACATATCTTAAAAACCTGTGAAAAAAATTGGCAATCTAATTCAAAATGCCATTATGAAGATGATATTGCTGGTTCAAACATACAGATCAAGTAAGGAAACACAGTCAGATGGAAGCTTGTCATAGATCATTTTTTTTTTTTTTTTGCAAATTTCTCAAAAAAAGCTGTAGTCTTATTTTTACTGGTCTATTTTTTTTGTAAATTGGGACTCTGTGCAAAAATATGATTACTGTAAAATTATCCCAATACCAAAGTTTTTGAATGAGTTGCACTTCTGAGATCGTTGTGACCGGTGAGTATCGTACAATGCTATGGTATGCAATTCAAAAAGGGTCTAATTTTTGCGAATTTGAATCCTGCGCAAGATACGCAAAACTATAACCATAGTGAAAACATCCTGATTTACGGTTTATTTTAAATCAGCGACTGTACATGTATCTTTTATAAATATTCAATTAAAATGTGAAGATTACAATTACATTACACTATCACATGTATTTCGTGTAGTATCACTTGTCATTTTGTCGGTGAAAGTAACATAATAAGTTATTCACCATCATCATGAATGCTTCTTAACTGAAGGAAATCCCTCCACTAAAGATTTGTCACAGGGAAGCAATAATGCCAAAAATATCCTTCTCTAAAAGATTTTTCTGCTGAAGCAATATTGGAACAAAGGAAAATTCCCATTTCTAAAGATTTTGCTGCCAAAGCATTACCGGAATAAAGGAAAATTTCCTTCTCTTAAGATTTTATTTTCCAAAGCAATACTGGAATAAAGGAAATTTCCTTCTTTAAAGCTTTTTCCTCCTCTCCAATATTTTCTTACCGAGTTACTTACAAGAAATATCTGGGTATACCAGAAAATCTGTACGTTAATCAAAGACTGTTGAAACTCATGGTAACACAAAAATTGCAAGATCAATTTATCCAGAAATAGTTCACTGTTAAAGAGAACTCCTCTGGAGGACAAACTTAATGAAGGAGATTGGATTTTCGAAAAACAGATTTCGACTTGAAACAGTTATTTAATTAAATAAAATCACCCCTGAAATTTCCTAATGAACTCTTCCAACCTTTAAATTGGAAGAGTTGAAATGTGCCTTCAGGGATGAATGAGTTAAAAAAAAAATGACAAAGAAAAAAAAAATCAAATTTAGCACATCAAATATGCAATTACCAATAGGAGCTGGAAAATTGGTCGGATTATAGCAAGAAAACAGAAATTGTAATTGCTATTTCAACAATGCTGACATTATGAGTATCATGATTTAAGAGTGAAAATAAATTACACAATTATTTATAACAAATTAGAACTACACTTATCCCAGTCGTACCTAATACTGAAATGTAAGTGTTATTTATTTATTTTTAATGTACAAGTGCTGTCATATACATGTATCAGCAAATTAAATAACTCGAAACTACTGAATATACATAGTTATGGATCCCCGTACCACTGCCAAAAACTGTACCTACATTTTTATGTAAGTGTTCAAAACTGTTTTCTGCCATGACTGCAGCTTTGATAAAACATTTCTAAAAAGAAAACCATACCAAAGGGGGTTTTTATGAGAAAAAACTGAGGTGAAATACCTGGAATTCAGAATGTTATACAATGATATCGCTCTAACCGGTTGTTATACAATGATATCGCTCTAACAGATTGCGTTACAATGTCAACGAAAGTGTTCTTACCCAACAGTGTTCTTACCAACAGTGTTCTTACCCAACTGTGCTACAATTGTATACAAATAGAACTTAAGGGAAGCTAGGTTAATGAATATAAGAAAAAACACAATGCAGTGAGACAGGGATCCTTGACTAGCTGTTGAATTGATTGGTGTCTGTCATAGGTAATGCATCTAACAGTACTAATATGCATATACGTTCTAGAACAATAAAATTCTTGAAAATCTTGAAATTTTGATTCTTAGTCTGTTTTCATCAACATGTTCGGCCTTCACTTGATTTATGCTGTAGCAAACTAATGGGATTACTGTGTACTGGGAAATTTTAGCCGTAGTTTATTGTTTGCCTTTTCCCGTCCGTAATGAGGGCGAATTTATCACAACAGTGAAAATAATTACATAATAAACTATACATAGCACCTGCATGTCAAGGCAAAACACTGCGCAAAAATAAATTTTACCAGTGACGGGTGAAAATTTTACTGGGCTAAGGGTTCCTGGCATACAGTATTTTTGGGAGAGTTAAGAAATAAATCTCTTCTCAAAACACACTATCCTGTACAAAATTAAATGTCTATCTACAATAGATCACATGGGGGTGAAGACCCGATGTCCCTGTAAAGTACTCAGTTCCATAGAGTGTACCACAGCTGTAAGTAACAACATGCAGTCGTGCTCGGAAGACGGACTCCTTTAGGCTGAAACATGCCAGCACACTACATTGAACATTAATTACAGTCTTAACTCATGCACCACTGAAATTTCATAATGAACTATTCCAACCTTTGAATTGGAAGAGTTCAAATGTGTCTTCAGGGGTGAATGAGTGTTGTTTCTTCTCAGTTTTTTGTTTGTATCTGCTAAAAAAAACAAGACGTGTCCGAGCAACAGGCTGACTCAGAATCATATCAATGATCCAAACTTGAATTTCACACATACAATGCAAAACTAGCTCATCTTTCATCAATGAAACATTTTGTCTGTTTCTTAGAACCACCATATATTACAATGGCTGATTCATGCTGTCAATGACCTCCTTGTTTTTGGTAACATCATACAGTACTTTGACCAATTTTCCTACTGTCGCATTTCTCGCATTTTTTTGTTTCCATTTCTGCAGTCCATGAAATATGACAGTCATAATGCCCTGTTCGTTGAAGTCACTATGGAGTTGATCAATTTCTGCCTCTGATATTTCTAGTTTTCTTACTGTAAAAAAAAAGGGAAAAATATGTTTAAAAGATTTAAGGTAATGTTGTTTTTTGCCGCAGTTTCACTTTAGTCTTTTTCACACTCCATATTGAAGGCAATGGACTACATATAGTTTGGGCCTTTTTTGGCCCCCAAATCTATTGGAATTTAAAATCTTCAACAGAACTTTTAAATGACTGTTTCTTTAATTTGAATACTTCCCTGGTACTATTATGTAAACATTTATTTGTGTTTTCAATTATGGCTGCCATGGTAACCAATTCATATTTGCATAAATTTGAATATTCGGTCAATTTTGACAGGTTTCCAGAAGAAAAACCATGCAAAAAATATGACAATATTCTCTGAATATTCAAATGTTTCTTATTTATGCAAATCTCAACTTGTTACCATGGCAACATAATTAGAAATACAAATAAATATTGTATAGTATAGGGGAAGTATTCAAAATTGAGAAACAGTTGTTTGAAAGTTCATTTAAAGGTTTTGAATTTTGATGCATTTGGGGGTCAAAAAACGCCCAAACCATACAAGTCTTTTTTAACGACATCAAATATTAATACATACCAAACTTTAATTAGTCAGTACACAAAAAGGGTGAAAATAAAACTTGGTGAATATGGATTTTTACCTGTAATGGACAAAAATTTGATAGTGTGAAAATTGATCATTATACAGGATAGCTGACAGAATCAATGAATTTTGAAACATTATAGAATGGCTTCATTTCCATGACATGATAACGACACATACTTTCAAACCTGCCGACATAATAGCTAACCAAAAATAGATTGTCTAGAAATTCTATTGGTTTTTTAAACCTCTATTTCTTTACTTACATATTCGTCGCCATTGCTTCCCAATATGAGTGGCAAGGACTCTCAACTTCCTATCATCGACAATTTCTTCTAAATCTGTTGGTCAGAAATAAGTCATCCCATACATTAAACAATCCATTTTCTTTTCATGGTATAATCCTAAAGGTATTGCTTACTGGTCTCCTATACTGACAACACACTGACTGATAGGTGGACAAACACTATTTTTACTAAGACACATTCAAAATATAAAGTACCATCAGGTTAAAGTGTGTTCCTTCCATTGTTCAAATCCTTTATTTACTACAGGTATTATGAAAAGATTCTTGTAACACAACCAAAAGGTGTTTCTATGTGACGTTTCGATGACTATAGTACGGTATGTACTCTGTCTCCTTCATCAGACAAATGACCAGTGAAGCGGATGTACTCGATTCAAAAAAGCGTAGCTGAATCGAGTCTTTTAGATACATATATAACAACTAATGGTACATATGCTTACACTGTAGCCGAAGCTACATTGATTTGTGGACAACATGTACACATTTTACACCTTTGTGTACGCTTCACTGGTCATTTGTCTGATGAAGGTGACAGAGTACATACCATAATAGTCATCAAAATGTTACATAGAAACACTTATTGGTTGTGTTACAAGATTCTTTTCTTTTCTACAGGCATATTCCCTACAAAACAAATGGTTAATTGTTGATGGCTGTAAACCATTACAAAAGCAAAGCAAAGTCATACAAAATACATTTTACATAATAACTGTTATTTAAAATTTTAGGAGATGCTTCCAATACAAATCCTACATTTAAACAATGTTTCTAACCAAAATTTTTAACTGCACCTTACCAAAATGAAATATAATATGATTGTCTTAAAAAGGGAAGTAACTCTTGTGCCTGAAAATTCCATTACTTTATGTATTTATCACTATTCCGTGCCCTACTACACAAATATATATGTGTAGTAGGACGAGGAATAGTGAAGATAGTAAAGATAGTGCTGTCGCTGGGGCTCGAACCCGCTACCCTTTGCACTCCAGCCCGATGCTCTACTGCTGAGTTAAAGGGACATTCCCTACAGCTGACGCTTGAAAGGCAACCTAAATAATGCACATATTTTACACTGTTCCCCCCTTTTCCAAACACCAACCCAGGTTATCCGACTCCCCGCCAAGGACTCTCCTACCTTGAACGGGGAGGGCCAAAGGCAACCTAATTAATGCACATCATTTACATATGTGAGAACATTCCATGTCAACAAAATGGCTCCAAGTGAAACTTTTTTCAATTATAACTGCAGGTAAAGTAGTTCCCTTTACCTTCAGATGAAAAATATCTACGAGAGTACATATTAAATACCTGCTGGTGTGTAGAGGTCTGATAGAAAATATACGTATTGTGACTTGTGATGTACAGCTATCATCATTGCTTTACCTATATAGTTTACCAACCTATAATAAGTACAACAAGAGGCACAAGAGGCGCAGCTTGATAACTACTGTAATATGTGGAGATGCATTGTTAAGTATTATGCCAAGCATATTATTAGTCAATGAAAATAAGAGAAAGAAGATTTAAAAAATGTATTAGCCTAACAACCTACCCTACTTTTTCTAGCATGTCACCTGAAACACAAAAGTTTTGCTCCGGATTTTACCTAATACAGCCTGCTGCTGACCAGTCATTTCCACAGAGGGAGCATCTCTGATGGCGGATATGTCGTCCTCCATCATCTCTTCCTTGGGGGGTCTCTTTCCGCCCCTATTTATCACCATAACATTCCGGTCCCCCACTTGTACATTCTTGGCACTGTTTATAGATATGTTTGCGATACCATTTCCAATTTGTTTTTTAATTTTTATTGCTGCACCATCAGGTTTCCCCTTTGCTCCTACAACAAAAAAAAGGTAAATTCATGGTCACAAAACATGTTGTGAAATTAAATACCCTGCAAATATTAACACCATGAATTATAATCTCCGTGAAAGTACATATAAAAAATATAAAAATTGTTTGAAGTCTGTGTGACAAGAAAATGATACAAAAAATGAAAATCACATGAGGACCAATTCTTGAGGCCTTCTCCTGAAGAGCTGTATAGCAGCGAAAGGCCTAAGGAATCGATCTTCTTCACTATAAATGATGCCGTTGGAAGCACTGTCCCACTACAAACGGAACACATTACATCTCCAGCACACATGCAGGCATACACACATAGGGAGATATTATCCAGGTGGCATAGGACTAGTAGTCAAAGTGCCTGATACTTGGCAGCTCCTGTGAATTCCTCAAAATTGTATTGATTAATGTATATATGGTAATTGTATTAATTGTATATCTATGAACTGTAAAGCGCTTTAGGCTGGCTTACATTAGCTAGATAGGGCGCTATATCAAATGTTGTATATTGTTATTTCATTATTTATCATTTAAAAATAATTGGATATACATATGAAAGGAAACATGTGGAAATATATATTTACATTTTCTATTTGATTATGTTTATTGGAAAATATTCTAATATTTATCAAATAATAGACTTGCATCACATATGTGTGCACACATGTAAATGTACCTCCGATTGGACACACTTTTACCCTTTTTTTTAGGAACATAAACATTTACGTTTCTTACCTTTACCCGGCATGTATTGGAACAGCATGCAATACATATGTTTATATATAGTTGTGAGCTCTTACATTTGTATTCTTATATACATGTACATGTTTATCCACCTATTGCATTATTTTGTCCATCAATATGGGAATATATATATGGGGATTGATTTAGGTAAGTTGTAAAACTTGTTTCCAAATCCTGTTTCAACAATAATGTATTGCTTGATATTATACTGTAAATGCAAAAAAGAAAGGAAGGAAAGATAAAATATATCAAATTGTGCAAAATTGATATAATAGATGGTGCACATATTTGATTGTGTTACCTTTATGATAATGAGTTTCCCCCATGTCATCGTCAGAAGAATCACTGCTACTGTCATCTATATAACTCACTTGGTTTTGTGCCTTTTGGACTTTTAGCATAGCTGCAGCTACCTATAAATTTATACGAAAAACATGCACAATCAGATTCATATTTCATCAAAAAAAATAAAAGCTGATTTGCAAGTATTTTCTAAAATTCTTATAGTAATACAATTTTGTTTCATATATGTAATACAGAGCTATAACCACGAAGCAATTAATATTACGGTATATAAACTGTTCTCTAATTGGCAAAGAAAAGTAAATAAAAGATATAAAGGAAATTTTTTTATTTTAACATTTCTTTTTGAAAATATTACCCTTATTTGTATTGATTTTAAAGGTATCCAGAATTCAAAAAGCAGTACATCTGTAATAAGTGCTTTCTTGTAAAAATAAAAACATAATTTTAAAGTGATACAGCAGTATCTAAGTACTTTTAATATGTGGAAATACATGTTGGAGTTGGTAAAACAATATATATACTGTAAAAGCATATTTTTTTCTGTATTGGTGATGTAATTTTTTTATTTAACCCTTTCACCACTGTAGACCATAAATGACCTCATCCAGATCAATACATGGTAGAGTCTACTAAAGTTACATAAGGGTGAAAGGGTTAACTCTCAAACAGCTTAATATCTCTGTGGCACTTGATCTAAATCTACTTAGTATATCATAATTTAACTAGTATGTTTTAATCCAAATGAGATTACCGCTGACATCCTTTTCTTGGTCTTACCTTTTGATTTGCTCTCTCCAGTTTTTTGCGTATATAATCTTCATCGTAATTCCCAGCCCCAGTGGTAACAATATTCATATTGCGTCTGCTACCACTCGCCATCGTTTACATCGACACACTCAAATTAGTATGTGGAGGAACTAGACATCATATATCAGGAAACTCTGCAAACAACATATCCAAAATGTACTAGAAATACAATTGATAATCAAGATTTTAAACATTTTTAGTGGTGTAATGACCGGTAGAATATGTATGGTAATTGGTACATGTATTGATTTTTAATTGGGATTAGCACTAAATAAAGAACGAGGCCAAGGTACTGCTGTGGATAAATTATATACCTTCTTTAAGTTCTGGTCAAGTCTTACAATTATTCAATGATGTCCATGTGCACAGACAGCATCACCTTATCATCACTTTGACCAATATAGTTGCGTTAGCTAATTTTAGCACCTTTAAATATTGGGGTCCTAATAACGGAGAGTGCACACGTGAGAATCGCTAGAGTTGTGTTTTTGTAGTGTTAGAGTAGCTGTAGTTACGAGTTTTAGAGTTAGTCGTAGATAGGTTAAAATGGAGACTAAAAGTGGATGTAGCCCTTATTTAGATCTAAGGGACCCCATTGGAATTAAACCACAATGTGACTTTATGGATCATTCCAGGTAAAGGCCTAAATTATGTGTATTCGTTGATGAAGGCATAATCAAAATCCCCGGTTTCCCGCCTTGAAAAATGCAGATTACTACCAGCTCAATTGCTATCACTGAAGACAAGATCAGAAAAGCTATAAACAAACCAAAAACAATCAAATCACCAGGACCCAACCAGATTCACCCCCACCTAGTAAAAGAAGCCGCTGACGAAATCATTATGCCACTAGAAATTATATTCTGTAAAACTTTAAAAAATCAAAAGTTACCTGCAGAATGGAAACATGCAGTTGTGACCCCGATCTTCAAAAAAGGAAATAAAACAAATCCGGGTAACTATAGACCAATTAGTCTCACGTCATTTGTGGGGAAACTCTTACAAAAGATCATAAGGGATGAAATCAACAAGCACCTAGATGAGACCAATCTGATCTCTAAAAATCAGCACGGGTTTAGAGGTGGTCGATCTTGTACAACACAATTATTAGAAACCCCTGAGGACTGGACAGAAGTTTTAGACCAAAACAATCAAATTGATACAATTTATTTAGACTTTGAAAAAGCCTTTGACAAGGTCACACACAAAAGGCTGATTGCAAAAGTGGAAGGGTACGGGATAAGAGGAGCACTACTACAGTGGATACGTGATTTTATTAATGATATGAAACAGGAAGTAGTCGTAAATGGCCAGTACTGGTCATCCAAAATGGTCACCTGTGAGTGGAGTTCCACAGGGGAGTGTGCTCGTACCAGTACTGTTTCTTATCTACATCAATGACCTACCTGAGTCACTCAACAATAAAATCAAAATGTTTGGCGACAACGCCAAACTCTAAAAATCAACAATATATAATGAGGATGGATTGTCACTCCAGAATGATATCAACAAAGTATGTGAATGGACAGACAAATGGCTGATGGAACTTAATTCAGACAAATGTAAACAACTCAAAATATATAGAGGCCAATTAAGAGAAAGACAACGTCAGATATGAGATCACCCAGCAAGGGGAGAGACATCAAATAGATCTAGTTAAGCAAGTGAAAGAGATATCGGTGTAGTTATTGATAAAAACCTAAAATTTAGTGAGCAAGTAAACACTGCAGGTATATCCAAAGCTTTGGAATCAACTCCCTACAATTGTGTTAGATTCCACAACCTTAAATGTTTTTAAATTTAGACTCAATATTAAGCATTGGGTCAAACATGACCAGTCAAGTTTTTACCATCGTACTACTAATATTTTTTTTTATATAATATGCGCAACCTGTAAATAAGTTAAAGACTATGAAGAAGCATAAACGGAAGCAATGAATTATGCTTAAAAGACGTCGACAACCATGAATCTTCCAATCTGACTGATTACTAATAGTTATATGGCATACATAACTTATAAATAGGATCTGTGATAATATATAATATATTTATGTCCAATTTGCAAAATGCGATACATACGTGTAATGTCTGCCTTTTACCTAAATAATCATTATTATTATTATTGAAAGTCCCAAATCCAGTGCCAGTTAGAAAACGAAAGTAGAAACAAAAAATGAACAGTATAAATATTAAGCTGTTACATGTCGTCAGAATCTTGATATCATTTAAAAGTATATACTTAAGTTTCTTAATCGTAAACGTTTACCATTCGTAAATAATTCTGTATGAGGACAAAATCAGTAGAAAACACAAAGATTTTCCTTCGATGTTTCTACTAGTCGGAATGCCTCTGATCTATCCTATTCGAGCATAATAAGTTAAAGGTGTTCCGAATATTCCGAAAAATAAACACAGGAAGTACACGGTGCTAATAATTACAGCCCGGTACAGCCCGGTACAGCCCAGTATAGCCTGGCACTGCCCGGGACAGCCCGGTAGTGATATATTGACCGCCCGGGCGTTTGTGTCCACTTATACACCATTATGATTGTATTTTTTGCATTGTTTGTAACAGTATGAATGTAGTGATCAAAAACTGGTGAAAAAATCATTAAATTTGACCGAGTTATGGTTATTTGAACTTTGTAACATCGCAACAACTCGCTGGAGTAGCGCCAGACGTTTGTTATTTGCAATACAAACACCGCCCGGGCTTTCACCTGTGTAGTAAACTGTACTGAAGTACCAAGTTTTCGCGCGGTTTAGATTACTTTCACTTAATAATCGGGATGTCTGTGAAATGATTTTATGCTCAGTGAAAGCAGCGAGTATACCACTCGGCCCTGGACGGTCCTGGGCGCAACTGCTTAACCAAGTTTTCGTGCGGTTTAGATAACTTTCATGTAATAATCGGGATGTCTGTGAAAAGATTTTATGCTCAGTGAAAGCAGCGAGTATATCACTCGGCCCTGGACGGTCCTGGGTGCAACTGCGCAACAAAGTTTTCCGTGTAAATCTGGATGTCAGTTACTTGAGAAATGTCAAAGTCTTCGAAGTTTTTACTCGTTTACGTTGACCTGGTTTCTTTGCAGTTAGCGGGGTTCTTGGAATGGTTAATCTGCCGTCAGTCGAGGTGATTTTGTTCGGTTTAGCCTGAACGCCTCGTAAAAGTTACCGGAAAAGTGCCTCTTTCTGTTCCATGGTCTTAATCTCCCAGTTTTGTTGAGAAACGCGTAAATGTTTCATCCATGGTGCCAATTCATAGTTTCCCTGTCCATGCAGAGCTCTTCGTATTTCTGCATACTGGAGTTTCACGATCTTGTGAAGTCTGTCTATAAGATCAGGTATTTTCAGGGTTTTCCAATTCGTTGACAGCTTCAGGAGATGATTCATTGATTCGCATGCATTGTTCTTCCAGTCTAACGGTACATTGTCGTTGCTTCGATGCGGTAGAAACACGTGGTTGCGAACGGTTGCACTCAAATTCCGAAAGTATTCTACAAATGCTGGTAGGTTCTCTTCAAACTCGTCTAATAGATCTATAACGCGTAAATCGAAATTCGTTTCGTCTGTGGCTTGAAGAAGACCTGTCTTTCCAAATATCTTCTGTTGGATATCGCGTTGCTGTGTCCTTTTGACACCAATCTTGTTGATAAGGTGTCTTCGCAGGTTTTCTTCAAGATGTCTAGTACAGAGGACGTGTTCTAACGTTGGGAAATTATGGCGAACCGCTTTCAAAATAGCCTTTTCCTGATCTGATCCTATTACAAGAGAATCCCCACTAATCTCCGTTCCGTTTACATCAGTGTCAAGTAGCGACTTGATATGAGAAAAAAAATCTGAAATATGACAGGTAAGAGCCGTTCCAGTGTAAAAATATGGGTCCTAACATGATCGGATGTGTTTGTGTCGATGATCGGACAATGTTGGTGTTCCTGTATACTAATATAGTTACATAGCACGCTGAACGGTTGAAAGTCCTATCGATCCCGAGCACACTTTTGTGTTGCGTTCCGGCCGTGCACATCTTTCGGATGTCTTCAATCTGCTCTGGCAAATGGAGAATTATGTCTGGTGCCTGTCCTTTTGAATGATTAATCTGCTGCACGAAGGGGTTCTCATGGAGGTCGTTGATTACAGAAAGAACGTCGTCGGCGATGGTCTTCCGATGATCTGATAGTACGGTTCCTGGGGTTTTTCTTTCATTGCGTTCCTGTTGGAATTTCAAATTCTGCACCTGTTTCAGATTTCGCGGTACGTCTCCAGAATCTTCTAAAACCATATCTTGATACACCTCTCGAGATGGCTGTGTCTTGATTTTCCCCGAATGCTTCTCTTTGTTTGCTCAATGCATCGGACGTACTCTCGCTCCGTCACCTTTGCATTCCCGTGTTGTGAAACGTCTTCCGGTGCCTCACCAATGTATTCGACTAAATATACATGTCCCGAGTCTAACCACGAAATTCTCTTCTTATAATCCCTCGATCTCTTAAGCTTTGTATAATACCTCCTTAACATGATCAAATCTGTCTCGTTTGGCTGCGGATGTAAAAGTTCACGGGCTTTTGATCGATGAGTATAAAATTGTCCATCTTTCTTCTCCAGGTATATAAGTTTTCCGTCTTGGCGCATGTAAAAGTGTGCTTTCGTCGACCCCTGACTCCAAGCACCACAGTCGTCGGTGAAACATGCTTTCTTTCCTGCGGTTCGACGTTCGTTGTTGTCTTGGTTGTCGATGACAAAGAACACTTCTTTCTTTCCTCGCGGGATAGCGTCTAGATCGGTATCGGTATCCATTAGATGGCTAATAAGAACATCAACGTCAAGGAAACGGTCATGCTTGAGTTTTCCAGTTGCTTTTCTTTGGGGCTCCAGTCGGATATTTGTAGGCCTGACTCGTCTTTTAAAAACAGGTGATGCTGATCTCTCCGGGAGCGAATGCGATAGGCTGTCGATTGTATCGTTTGGACGGACATGTTTCCTTTTCGGTGATTCGGACGATGAAGAAACATTTTCAAGCGAATTAGTGTCGTCTGTATCTGGTAGGAAAGGCCTCCATAGCTTTGGCTTCTTGCTTGCGTTTGTTTTCAGCTGACTTACACCGTGTTGTCTGTTGAGTTTCTTACTTGCATTTGGAACTGTAGCAAAAGTGTCATCGGGCTTGAGCGTAGTCATGTGAGGTTTCGTAACGACTTTGTGGTCAGTCCAAAAATCGGAAAGTGCTGGTTTAGGTTTATCGGTGGATGCTTTTGCCAAGTGAGGTAAAGTCCTGGGGGTAGATGTACGAAGGGGTCCATGTCTTACTTGTGGTGATAACTTACCTGTTGCAGTGCTTGCGTGCAGTTGTTTTACTTTACTTGAATGGTCGCCTATCGAAGAAGGAATTGGTGATGTTCGATTCGTCGAATAATCGGAACTGTCAACAGATGAAATCCTGGTAGAAGAGGGGTCTTTTTCGATATGTTGCGATGGGGCATGGCACTTTGCGGCTGTTTTGGACGGCGCATCATTTATTTCGGTCTGCAGGACGTTTGGACTGACAACTGGGTCCATTGTTACTGCAGATGATCTTTTAGGCGAAACAGCTTCTGCATAAGTCATCTTCCTTGACGGTGGAGTTTTCGTAAGAGAGTCATCCAATACAACTTTCTCTGGTGCGCGGTAAAATGGAATCAGAGGAACAAAATGGTCGGGTGTCCAGATCTTCCTCGTTATTGGCCTCTGCATCGATGTCCACATTATGAGCATTGGATCTTTCTTGGAACTAGTGGTACCGCTGGGATAAAATGTTCGGTTCATGATCTCCACACAAATGTCCGACAGTCCATTGACAGGTGGATACACGGATCGGATCGGTCTGTTCATGATGTTTGCTGCCGATTGAAATGTCCATAGGCATGCGTAGCCCGCGTTGGTAGCGGCACTCAAACAAGCAGCGTCGTAGTCCGGTGAAACCAATCTGATTTGACCGTTAGATACAGCTCTGATATTGTCACGTTTTCTGTTGACTAGATCAATAGTGATCCGTACCCTGAGTTCGGTAGATAAGTTAGTATTTCCAATCAATCGTTGTGAGAGCGCGCGGTAAAAGCAATTACCATCCATCCTCGTTGCGGCGGGGTAATGGTCAGTACCGAGTCGATGGTCATTAAGAATTTGTGTCGCAATTCTATCTCTCCGTTGATGAACGTCTACGTCACACTCGGGTTCAGGAACAGGACTGTCTCCGACGAGTATTCCCTCCGGAACGGTGGCACTCTGTAGTTTATTGAAGCCCAGTTGGGCCGCGTTGCTCAGACGACGTAGACTAGCATTGAAATCGAAAGGTCCATTCGGGCGCGAACATTTTCTACACACGTAATCAATAGATATGTCAGTTAACTGTGCCATACTTACCCGGGACAATCCTTGACAGTGCCCATGAAACCAGCAGTTACACAATCAACATAAAATTGAATTCAAGTGGCATTTCCTCTTGCAAGTTCCACATGGCCATCGGGGTAGATCCTGGTCAACGAATCTAAAATAAATAGAAATAAAGCTTTCAAAAACATCACAATTACCCAAATCACATCGATGTAATTTCAGTCTATATTTTGCTAGGGGTACTGCCACTAAGTAATCTCAATTTTCAATATAATTTCATAATTTCTTCAACTGAATACTCTTTACACTGGCTACTTTACGTTAGGCTAGGGGGACAAGGGGTACCGACCCAGGTAAAAGCCCGGGCGGTCGGGGCGGCATCAACAAAGTAACGGCTACCGTGCCGGGCTCCGAGCCAAATAAACAATTATGATACTACCCATTTCAAATCGATATAATTCAGTCAATTTTTAATATAATTTCATAATTTCTTCAATTGAATACTCTTTACACTGGCTACTTTACGTTAGGCTAGGGGGACAAGGGGTACCGACCCAGGTAAAAGCCCGGGCGGTCGGGGCGGCATCAACAAAGTAACGGCTACCGTGCCGGGCTCCGAGCCAAATTAACAATTTATTATTCGTGTTAATTTCAAGTCCGGTTTACTCACATATCATTCCGCCTTCTCATACCGAAACGTTTTATGTTTTTAATTTTTTTTTTGTTACCCGTAAAAAGAAACCCTTTACAAACTTTGCTCCCATTTCCCAACTTTGATCCTGATACTCAAGTATATTTTACTTCATAAATATGAGTTTTTATGTGGACTACAATCGTATGAAACAGATTATGATTGGCTTGTTTTGTGATTTGTGGCACTTTCTCGTATCGATACAACATACTTCAATACTACTATATAAGGTATTGGAATATTGCCAGTGTGATAGGCTTAAAATCATGTTTTGTAATTATTAAGTGCCTCTCTGTCTATAAAGTT